CCACCCTCTGGCTTCTATGAGGATGAGTGGATGAGGATCCAAAATTCCAGGAAAAGCACAAGTCTTCAATGAGGTACAAATATGATTGCTTGAGGAGAACTGAACTAAGCTCCATCCTTTGGATGTGTCTACCAGAGTGATCATATGTGGTGGTGGGAAAGGATATAAAGATAGAACATTTTGGAAGAAATAATGATCAGTAGTTGGACTCAAAACATGATTGAATAAGGAAGAATGGAATAAGCGCCTTACTATATTAACTTAATATATAACTTAATATAACTTAACTTATATATAACTTAATATATTACAAATACCAAGGGAAGACAGCTTAGTTCAGTTCTTTAACCAATCATGTTCCAAATGTCATCCAAACACTCAGTTTTACCAGGATGATCTATCCCATCCCCCACTGTCACAGACAGGAAGAAATAAAGGGCAGGCAACAGGGTTAGAATGGGATTGGTTGAAGTACAACTGAACTAGTAATAAGTATCTTCCCTGGCATTTCTGAGAGAGTGTGTGAAGGGTAGGCAGAAGGATAGAATTTTGTGGAAGAAATAAAGATCAAAGATGGATTCAGAACATCATTGGATGAGGAAGAACTGAAAAAACCCTCTCCACTGAGGGTTTAGGTAAGGGTAGAAGGATGAAGACAGAACATTCTAAGAAAAGTAATCCAAATATGATTATCTGAGGTAGAATGGAGTTAATCTTCCTCTCCTCCATGTGTCTGCTACAGTCAGGTTATGAGGACAGAAATTTCTGAAAGAACCAAATGCCATAAGGTGGGGGGCAAAATTTGATTGATTGAGTTTCTATAAAGGCCTTGAGGGAAGTGGTAAGGTGAATACTCTCCAGAAGTAAATGACAAATGAAGTGAGAAGCCTCACAAAATGATTGGATGAGGAAGAACTGAGTAAGTCCCCTCTCCTTGTGCTTCTTAGAGTCAGAACATGATTGGTTGAAGGGGAACTAAACTAAGGTCCTTCCTCTGGGAGTTGCTGATATAGTGAGTTTATGAGAGCAGAACTTTCTAGAAGAATTCAAAGTTTGATTGGTTGAAAGAGAAATGAACTAAAATCCCTTCCCTGGTGGTTTCTGTAAGGGTGAGTTTGTGTGGAGAGAGGCAGATCTTTCTGGAAGAAGTAAAGGTCTGGGGCTGGGTGCAGTGGCTCATACCTAAAATCCTAGCACTCTGGGAGGCTGAGGCAGGGGCCCAGAAGGTCAAGACTAGCTTGAATAACATACCAAGACAGTCTCTCCAAAAAATAAAAAAATTAGCCGGGCATGGTGGCGCATGCCTGTAGTCCCAGCTACTCGAGAGGCTGAGGTAGTAGGATTGCTTGAGCCCAGGAGTTTGAGGTTGCTGTGAGCTAGGCTGATGCCACGACACTCACTCTAGCCTGGGCAACACAGTAAGACTCTGTCTCAAAAAAAAAAAAAAAAAAGTAAAGGTCTGGGAGCAGATCCAAACATGATCTTCTCCTTTGTGATACAGTGAGGATATGAGGACAGAACATATTGCAAAAGGTAAAGATCTGGGAGCAGGTTCAAATATGATTGTTTAAAGGATAACTCAACTATGCTCCCTCCCCTGGAAGTTTCTGATTTGGTGAAGGTGTAAGAACAGAAATTGGAAGCAATCAAGTTCAGGAGATGGGGTCAGAATGTGATTAGTTGAAGGAGAACTGAACTACATCCTAAAATGGTGAGCTTGTGGAGAGGAGGTAATGGATAAGAACACAACTTTCTGAAGAATTAAAGATCTGGGACCAGGTCTGAACATGATTGGTTGAAGGAGAACTGAACTAAGTCCCCACCCTTCAAGTTTTCTGTGAATGTCTCTGTTGGGGGATGGGTTGGCGGGGAGTTTGGGACAGAACTTTCCGGAGGAAGTCAAGGCCACATGGAGGGCTCCTACCATGACAGGATGAGGGGGGATTGAATAAGTACCCACCCATGGGGTTTCTGTTAGAGTAAATAGATGAGGACTGAACATTCTGGTACAAATAAAAATCTGGAGAGCAGGTCAAAACATGATAAGTTGAGGGAGAATTGAACTAAGATCCAGGGTGTTTCTGATATAGTGATGGTGTGTATAAGGCCAGAACACTATGGCAGAAGTAAGATAGGTGTCAGAATGGGATTGGTGGAAGAAATATTAATACTAAATTATGTTCTCTCCCATGGGTTTTCTGTTAAGGTTGTTATTGCTATCTGGAACTTTCTAGAAGAAGTGAAGTTCAGGGAGTGGACTCATAAAATTAATACATGTGGAAGAACTGAATAATTACTTACCCTGGTGTTTTCTGTTGTGATTGGGGGATGAAGATAGAACATTCTAGGGAAAATAATGGTCTCAGAGTATGTTACAACATTATTGGTTGAAGGAAATCTAAACCAAGCTCCCACTCTGGGTTTTGTGGTATAGTGAGGATATGAGGACAGAACTTTCTGGAAGTAAAAGGAGGTTGGCTCAGAATTCAGTTGATGAGGAAGAACTGAATAAGTTCACATACCTGAGTGTTTTCTGGAGGGTAGGCCTAAGGACAGAATATTCTGGGGAAAATAAAGGTCTTGGAGTGGATATGAACATGTTGGGTTCAAGGAGACCTGAACTAAACTCCCTCCTTTGGACGTTTTTATTATAGTGCCAATATGAGCACAGAATTTCCTAGAAGGAAATGCCAGGATGGGGATCAGAATATAATTGCTTGAAGGAGAACTGAACTACCGTGTTTCCCTGAAAATAAGACCTACCCATAAAATAAACCCTAGCAGGATTTCTAAGCATTTGTGTAATATAAGCCCGACCCCGAAAATAAGACCTAGTGATGGGCGTGGCTGCACAGCGTATCTGCACAGCCCATGCATTTCGTGGCTGAGAGGTAAAGAAGACGAGCAGCCCTTCTCATCTGCCCCATCGTGACAGCTACTATCCCATAGGTGACCGGAAAGGTGCAGGCAGCCCCACCAACAAGGTCGGCTCACCCTGTCAGGTCTCGGCCATCCTGTGTGTGCTGCAAGCTGAGGCTTTGAAGGAAAAATAACACATCCCCTGAAAATAAGCCCTAAGGTGTCTTCTTGAGGAAAAATAAATATAAGACAAAGTCTTGTATTTATTAGATTTATATTTATTTATATTTATATATTTATCTTATATTTATTTATATTTATATTTATTATATTTATCTTATATTTACTAGTCTTATATTTATAAGACCCTGAAACACGGTAAGTTCTCTCCCCTGGGTGTTTAGGGTTTTCATGTGTCCATGGGGTGGGGCTGCAAGGACAGAACTTTCTTCAAGAAGTGAAGTCCTAGGTGGTCTCAGTACATGATTGGGTAAGGAAGAACTAAGTCCATTGTTTCGGGTGTTTTTGTGAGAGTTGGGGGATAAGAACAGATCTTTCTAGAAAAGCACTACATAATGGAAGACAGAGCTAATCAGAGGCTGTTACCTCATGGGGACAGACTTATTATATATGATAATGAGCTTATAAATATTAATAATAAGTTATAAATAGATCAGAGGACCAACTCCTTTTGTTATGTGGATTTCCTTTGTCTATTATTTCAAATCTAACACTCTTCATCTACTTCTGGTTTTAAGCCATATTATGGGACCGGTTTCAATGCACTTTTTCGCTTTCCTTCTGCTTCTCTTTTCTGTCTTTATACTTTTGAAACATGGGTTATGTATGTCGAATCTCCAGGATAAAGTATATAGGGTTCAGACACTTTATAAACTAGAGGATCAAGGGGCTATGGAGGCTACATCCAAGAAGATATTCTTGCAGGAATGGAAATGGGGAAATGGTAAGAGGTAAAATGGGAATAGAACTAGAATTAGGGGAAGGCTTGAGTTTGGATGTAGACAAAGAAACTGTCAAAAAAGCAAAGCTCGGGGAAAGCTTAGGCTCCAGACGAACACCAAAATTAATTCCAGTGGTATTTGATCCCAGGCAAGATAGTCATAGGATCTGATTCATACAAGTAAATATATATCTGAAGGATAACAAGGAAAAGTGTCACCACTAAAATTAGTTCCTGTAATATTGGATCCTGAAAGAATTAGACAGTGGCCTGAAACATATAAAGACAGGCTTATCTGAGGAGAAGAGGGAAAACAAAATCATCAAAAATAATTCCAGTGATATTAGATTCTGGACAAGTTAGTCTTGGGGTATAATCCCAATAAGTGAACACCTCTCTGAAGGAGGAGAGAAAAAGATTCACCCCCAAAATTATATCTAAATAACAAAACCAGTTTGTGTTGTCTAATCTATATAAGTAAAGACTTACCTAAAGCAGGATGACAAATTCATAACCAAAATTAAGTCTAGTGATATTGTATCCTGGACAAATTAGTCATGGGGTCTGATTAACATAAACAAATGCTTATCTGAGGGAGTAGGGGAAAACTGCTATCTCCAAATTAATTACAGAGATATTAGATTCCAGATGAGTTAGTCATGTGATCTGGTCCATATAAGTAATCATATCTCTGAGAAAAGAGGGGGAAAGTCACCCCCAACATTAAATCCAAAGATATTTGTTTCTAGACCAGATATTTGTGTTGTCTGATCCATATAAGTAAGTGTACCTTTCATGAACTACAGAGAAAAACAACACATGTTTATTGAAAAGACTATGTGAACATCACTGGCACTGGTTTTTGTCCCAAAGTGCAATTGTGGTGAAGAAAAATGAGTAGGAGTATGAGAGAGTCTCCTAGTGTAAGGAAAATACCAGGGTAGGAGAGAAACAAGCTATCATAGACACAGGTGGCACAAGTCTTGTCTCAGGGTAGGCAGAAAACTACAATAGTGGCTGACAAACCAGTTATTCTGAGTCATAGTGGAAAAGCGGGCAACTAAAGTGGGCAGGAAACTGCAAATATAGTGGTTAGCAAACAAGAAATCAATCAATAGATAGGAAGGTTGAACTATAATAGAAAGTAAATGCACTTAGAGGAAAAGACAGTGGACAACTATATAGCCAAGGAACCTGGATCATAGACAATGTACCAGAAATTTCTCTGTGGAAAAGAACAACAAGGACAGCCAGGAGAGGGCAGGTCTTTAAGTGGATAGAAATGCTTTCAGAAAGTGGCCAAACATGATCTGCAAGATCAGCAATATAGAGGCAGAAATCTAAAAGACTAGACTGCTGGACTTTCCACTTTCAAAACTCCCAAGCCCCAGGTGAAAACAGCAACAGAAAGATCAAAAGCTGAAGTGAAAGCTAAAGCCTCTGCAGATGGGCAAGACACCAAAATGTAAGTTGAATTTATTCCAGTAATTTTAGTAGGTGGAGGGAATTAGGAATTGTGTTTCATTGTTCTGAGCAGCATGCTTGCATAAAATGGCAATTGCAATACTCTAAAGGAGAGAAATCAGAATGGGCTCAGTCATACCATTTGCTAGGCTTTTTTTGTGGTGGTCAGAAGTTGAGGTTTGGAACATCACTAATGCAAACTAACAGTTAGTGAGCATTTTTAAGCCAGAGAATTTTCTTCCCACTGGGACACATTTTTGCATTCTATAATTTTCCAGAAATGACATTGCTAAGCCTATTTCAAGTGTAAACATTATTATTTCTTAAGGTGCCTTGTTAAGACCAGGGTGAAAATCTGGCCCTGAAATTTATCTGAAAGTGAATTCTGGTTTAACACACTTCTTAGTTGAGCATTTCATTATATAGTAAGTTAATGCTTTCTCAGCTCCCTAAAAAGTAATTTCTGCTGTGTCTACATACCTATGCTAGAAAAATAACTCACGAATAGCAGATTCTTGGAATAGCAGTGATTGTATGTTTAGCTAAAATTTATATTTTATTAAAATATTTCTTAAAATGTTACTTTATCTTAACCTCATTCTTAGAGAATTTTTCAACTACAGTTAACTCTGTGAAGAGCGTTTAAGCTTTATCATCTAACCCTAAAAAGAGATAGTGCTTCTCAAAATGAATTTGTTAAAGATTTAGAGACAAAGAACTTGAAGAAAATTGAGATATTACTCCCATCCTCTGAAGGAACAGGCCCAAAGTTTTAAGTGGCTAGCTTGAGGATATAGTAAAGTATGTTAACAGAGCTGGGACTAAGCGAAGTCTTGATTTCATGTCAATTCTCTTTCCATTATTCATGTGGATTTAACTTTAAGTTACAACTAAAATGTTGAAAACTTAAACTTTAGTAAACTACCAGGAATTTTCTGGATAGCATTATTGATTTTGTTAGCTTTGGCATCCTATAGGCATGGATCATAACCGGTAGTATAAGTACCACTACAAAATTGAAAATGTAAACTTCAGCAAGATATTAGAAATTTTCTGGGCGGAGCTGCAGGGTTTTGTTGGTTGGGTCTACTGTAGGCACTAGTGTGAATTGGTAGTATTTGACTAAGTCTTTGAGAGTGCTGTTTTCTTTCTTTCTTTTTTTTAATTTCAGCATATCACAAGGGTACAAATGTTTAGGTTACATATATCACCTTTGCCCCACCCGAGTCAGAGCTGCAAGCGTGACCATCTGCCAGACAATGCACACCTCACCCATTAGGTGTGAATATACCCATCCCCTACTCCCCCCTCCCACCTGCCCAACACCAGATGAATGTTATTATTATATGTGCACTTAAGTGTTGATCAGCTAATACCAACTTGATGGTGAGTACATGTGGTGCTTGTTTTTCCATTCTTGGGATACTTCGCTCAGTAAAATGGGTTCCAACTCCATCCAGGAAAATACAAGATGTGCGATATCACCATTGTTTTTTGTGGCTGAGTAGAACTCCATGGTATACAAATACTATGTTTTATTAATGTGTATTTATGGGCACCTGGGTTGTTTCCACATCTTTGCAATTGTGAATTGTGCTGCTAAAAACATTCTAACGCAGATGTCTTTTTTTTTTTTTTTTTTTTTGGAGACAGAGTCTTACTTTGTTGCCCTGGCTAGAGTGAGTGCCGTGGCGTCAGCCTAGCTCACAGCAACCTCAATCTCCTGGGCTCAAGTGATCCTCCTGCCTCAGCCTCCCAAGTAGCTGGGACTACAGGCATGTGCCACCATGCCCGGCTAATTTTTTTTGTATATATATTTTTAGTTGGTCAATTAATTTCTTTCTATTTTTAGTAGAGACGGGGTCTCGCTCAGGGTGGTTTCGAACTCCTGACCTTGAGCAATCCGCCCGCCTCGGCCTCCCAGAGTGCTAGGATTACAGGCGTGAGCCACCATGCCCGGCCCAGATGTCTTTTTTATAGATTGTCCTTTTTTCCTTTGGGTAGATGCCCACTAATGGGATTGCTGAATCAAATGGTAGTTTAACTCTTTTAGGTATCTCCATATTATTTTCCACAGAGGTTGCACTAGTAGTTTGCAGTCCCACCAGCAGTGTATGAGTGTTCATATCTTTCCGCATCCATACCAACATTTGTTGTTTTGGGACTTTTTGATAAAAGCCATTTTCACTGGAGATAAGTGATATCTCACTGTGGTTTTGATTTCCTTTTCCCTGATGATTAGAGATGTTGAGCATTTTTTCATATGTTTATTGGCCATTAGTGTCTTCTTTTGAAAAGTTTCTGTTCATGTCTTTTGCTCACTTTTTAATGGGGTTGTTTGATTTTTTCATGTTGATTTTCCTGAGTTCTATATAGATTCTATTCATAGTAATCAGTCCTTTATCAGATGTGTAGCATGGGAATATTTTCTCCAATTCTGTAGGTTGTCTGTTTGTTCTCGTGATAGTTTCCTCAGCTGTGCAGAAGCTTTTTAATTTGATCAGGTCCCATTCATTTATTTTTGTTGTTGCTGTGATTGCCTTTGGGGTCTTCTGCATAAATTCTTTGCCTAGGCCAATGTCTAGAAGAGTATTTCCAACATTTTCCTCTAGAATTCTTATAGTTTCATGCCTTAGGTTTACGTCTGTTATCCACTGTGAGTTGATTTTTGTGAGAGGTGAGAGGTGCGGATCCTGTTTCACTCTTCTATGTGTGGCTATCCAATTTTCCCAGTACCATTTATTGAATAAGGGTTTTTTTTCCACAGTGTATGTTTTTGTCTGCTTTGTCAAAGATTAGATGGCTATATGAGGATGGGCTTATATCTGGGTTCTCAGTTCTGTTCCACTGGTCTATGTCTCTGTTCTTGTGCCAGTACCATGATGTTTTGATTACTGTAGCTTTGCAGTATAGCTTGAAGTCTGGTAAATTGATGCTTCAGGTTGCTTGGGCTATACAGGGGTCTTCTCTGGTTCCATACGAAGCATAGAATTATTTTTTCTAGATCTGTGAAAAATGATGTTGGTATTTTAATAGGGATTGCATTGAATATGTAGATCACTTTGGGTGGTATAGACATTTTAACAATGTTGATTCTGCTGATCCATGTGCATGGTATGATTTCTTAAAGAGTTCTCTGTTGTGTACTTTCTTGAAAGCATCTTTTGGGATGAAAATAACATGGCTAGGATTTGCTTCAAAATAATCAATTGACAAGGCATATTGGATATATGTACAGATAAAACAATATTGGTCATGTGTTGATCATTGCTGAGGCTGCATGATGAGTACATGGAGGTTCATTTTACAACTGTAACTATTTCTGTATATGGCTAAAATTGTCCATTATCAAAATTTGAAAAATAAAATTACTTGTATTATAAAAGACAAGCTTGATGGATAATAAACTAACAAAGCTAATGGCAAGTGATGCATCTTGTAGATTTTACTTTCTTCTCTGTTGTCTTTCTTCTATTTTAGTATATGTGAACATAATAGAACTTATTTTTGGTTAGAATTGTGTATGAGATTAAAGAAATATTGATAAATATTTCAAGTGCCTTTCTGATCTGAGTTAAAGAGAGGAAATTGCAGATTTTATGTGAAAAATGCCAATTTTCACCAGGTGCTGCTCAATCTATCACTGTAAAATTTACCGTAATTTTCATTCACAATTTCGATTACCAGGGAGGAAACCACATTTATAAGATAAATAATGAAAGCAATGAGACTTGTAGTGGACAAAAGCAGAGGAATGTGTTTTATGATGTTTTTCCTGCTGAACATTGAATAATCCTTGAGATGTTTTATGTGTTTATTTCCTAAGCAATTAGGCCATTCTGGCCCTGCCCTCTCTAGCCTTGCTGTAAAATTACATGCATTCAGGCTGGGTGTTGGTGCCTGACTGCTGTAAAATGAAAAATTAACCAACATGAAACAACATAATAGTGTTTTTTATTTAAAGGGGATTTTTTGGTTTTGGGGAGATGAGGTTTTTTAGAGATGAGGTCTCACTTTGTTGCCCAGGCTGGAGTGCAGTGGCTATTCACAGGTGTGATCATAGTTCACTGTGGGTTCGAACTCCTGGACTCAAGCAATCTCTCCACCTCAGCCTCCCTCCCAAGTATCTGGGACTACAGGTGCACACCACCAGGCCCAGCTTAAACTTTTTTGTCGTTATAAAATATAACAGACATAGAAAACTGAGTAAAACAAAGGTATAGCTTAAGCAATTGTTATGAGGCAAACACCCTTGGAAATAACCACCAAGGCTAAAACATTAGAATTTTGCCAGCTACCCCAGGGAGCCATCCTAATCACAACTCTCTCCGTCTCCTCAAAAGTAATCTCTATCCTGACCTTTATGGTAATCCATTCTTTAATAAGTTTATCACCCAAATGTTCATTTATAAACATTAGTTTAGTTATGCTTCACCTAAAATTCTTAAGTCTTTTTTAATCTCGTTTTCCCCCTCTATCCTTTTTACCTTATGATTTATTTGTTGAAGAAACTGTGTCTTTTGTCCTCTAGAGTTTTCCACAGTCTTGATTTTGCTCTGTCTTACATTTCCTGTAAATTGGTAAGTTGGTTCTACAGCCTTGATCAGATTTTAGTTGATTTTTTTTTTCTTTTCCTTTCCTAGGTGGTGGTGTGTTCCTCTATCTGGAGGTATAAAATATTTGGTTGCCTCTCTTTTCTATGATAATTGCTTGTAGTGATCAATACCATCAGGTTTGAGGTTGAGGATGTCTCTCCAGATGTTTTAGTTGTCAGAAACATATTCTCTAAAATGGGAAAGACCTCAGGGGAACAATATTCCCTGAGTTCTTACATGTTGATAAATTGGGCAGTGGCTTTTTATTTGAAAGTCAGGCTGGATATAATCATTGGTTCACATTTTCTTTCCTTGGCTGTATTAAATACGGTACTTCTTTTTCTGCTAGCATAAAGTTTTGCTGTCAAAGTCTAATGATAATCTGATTTCCTCTCCTTTATGAGTG